TTACAGAGTAAAGATTACATACATTCATCTCTTTGCCAAAAAACTGCTTATACTAGCAAACTCAGTGTGACCTCCCATTTTCTTCATATTTTTCCATGGAGTATTCAGAGGGAAAAACTTCTCTGTTGGAAAGCAACCTGATGTTTTATAACTGTTGCCCCAGTAGAAGCACTTACTTAGAACAGGAGGACCTAAAAGTGTTTGGGCATCATTAACAAATTGACACTGTCACCACTGACTCCACAAATAGAGATATTAAACAGCACAATTTCTGTGCCTGATGAGCATTTTAACATCTTGTACTGCAATGAGCTCATCCCATGAAACAAGCTTGAACTGGAGTCTGAAAAGTAACAGGGCACATGTGGAGCACCAATGAGAAATGTGTCCAGAAGGTACAAGCAGACAGACTTCAGTTTTAGGAAAGGGAAAATTCATGTGGTCCATCTATGATGAGAGTCTGAAACCATCCTAAAACTGAAAAGTACAAGATATGGCTGTATCAGCCAAAATTTGGGTAGCAAAACCAGTATCAGTTCCAGCTGTCAGATGAGAGCAGTCTGCTCTTGCAGAGGTTTTACTTTACAAGTGACCTTGCTCGGCCTTTGCTTATCTCCTTTTCAGTCATAACTTTGAAATCAAAAGGAAGATACTTTTGATCTTCTTTCTCTCTTGGGGACATTCTTCCATGCTGTCCATAAAAAGTAAAGAAAAATTAAAAATCTCCATTTATTTGTTTGCTTGGTTGTGGTGGTTTTTTCCCCATGGCAAAAACAGTGCAGATTTTATTAAGTTCTTCAAAACTATCTTAGTTTTCATATTGTTTTAAATAAAAACATAAATCTGCATTTTCAAGTATCCTGAATTTTCTGTTTCTATTCCAATGCAGAGAATTTTGACTTAAAACAACTTTTCATTTTTAAATCTCTCTCTAGCTCTGAATTTTTGAGTTGGTCACTTTATTTTCCAGCTATCAAAGTTTCTTCATCCTTGAAATTCATATTAAGTGGTCTCATTTTGCAATTGTTTAGATGCAATATGGAAAAGAATCTGGTCTTGGTGAGATATCAATAGATCAATTAATTTCCTGGACTACCATCTTGAACCCTCATTTCAAAGGTGTACCTGGGAATTTGCAGTCTAGAGCATGGCAGCCAAGATGGTCAGAAACCAAAAGGAGAAGACACTGAGGGAGCTGGGCTGCTCTCAGTCCACTCTGCCCAGTGGTAGCAGAGGGTAAAAGAATGGGGAGAAGCCACAAAATAATGCTGGGGAGATTCTGAACACAGCTTCTTTACTAGCAGAGCAGTGCACCAGCAGGACAGGCTGTCCAGGGAGGCCCTGGATTCCCCATCCTCAGGGGATGCACTCAGACCTCCAGAGGCATTCCTGGCAGCCTGTGCATGTACACCTTGCCAAATCCACGTGTGGAAAACACCTTCAAACCCAAACCACCTGCAAGGCACCTTCCCCAATTCATTTCTGCCTCTGCCTCCTAAAGTCTGCTTCTGGCTCAGGGAATAAAAACTGATCTATTTGTTAAATGGTGCATATAATGCAGACAAAACAATTCCATTTTTCAGGATCCATCCCATCTCCTATCATAAGCCCACCCAAACAAAAGCTATTTGACAGATTACTATTATTTTCTTTGATAAGAGGAAACATACCATAAATCTGGTTTTGTAGCTAGAAGATTTCAAGATAACAGAAGGAAAAAGAAGCTGCTGCTACTGCTACTTTAATGGCCCCTTTGGAACACATGGTGTGCATGGCTTCATCCAAAAAACATAACTGCCATTTAATACAGTATTGTATCATTATATCAGAGCCCCCTCAAGACTCTCAATGAAAGATGAGCAGTCTTTGCACAGCAACATCCCTGTGGTTAAGTAAAAAACAGATGGAGCCAACAACTTGTCTGAATAAACAGCAGCATTTCCAGATATTCCCATCACAAAAGGATACTCTGGGCCAAGTGTGGCATATTTTGGTAACAGTGGCTCATAGTGTGTTATGAGATCTGCTAGACAGAGAATACAGACTGAAGATATAGGTCAGCATCATCCCTAGGGCCAATAGAAGATGCCAGACTTCCACATACTTGAGGAGGACCTGAAACTAATTCAGAGTCTGATTGCAGAACATTATGATCCAGCTTGAAGAGGTATGTGTTATCTCACCCTTTGCCAGGCAAAATCATGGCAAAAGTCTCTTGTAGCATCTGCAGTGAGCTGGTTCTGTGTGTGCAAAAGGGTCAGTGAAGCAGCAGTTGTACATTTGAAGCAAAGGCATCCAAAGCACAGTTCATGGTCCCCTGATCTGGGTGTTGTCTGGCCATACTTCTGTGAGGAAAGCAGCTTCTCTTCACAGAATCATGGAATCCCAATGCTCACCCAGACTTTAACTAGTGCCTGTGGCTCTTTCTAGAAAACCAAACCAGGAAAGCAGAGAGTGGGAGAGGAGTATCATCAGATTTTATCTTACACCAAGCAGGGGAAAAGAATAATGGCAAGAGTGCAATTCTAAGTACTAGCAATGGCAAACTCCATCCACGTGATTGCCATGTTGTGCTTGCAAGGACAAGATTTGCACCTTGGTCTCCACCACAGCTCAACTCAGCCTATGATACTTTCACATCTGTATTGTGAAAATTCAGCAGATATCCCCCACCATGAGTTCCTCTGAGAAAAAAACAGATTAAATTCCAAAGATCAGATAGAATAGTACTTAAATTTAAGAAGCAAACATGACTAAAGATGCATCCAGACTGCAAGAGGTTTGAATGATGTTCTGACAAGGCACCAGGCATCTGGAAATCCCTGAAAACAGGACCATGGCAGTGCTAAGATATCTGGGAACTGAATGAGTGTTGTCATCACACTGAGGGTGCAGAGGAAAAAGAGATTTACACAGAAGACAAACCACAAAACCAGCTCTGAGTTAAAGTCATATATATGACAAGGTTAAGGCAGGGTGAGGGACAAACCATAAACATGAAGTAACTGGAGTGCCCAGGTTATCACAAAGAGGAAAAGGGGAACTGAACACCTTCTACCTCTTCCCCCATCACCCTCTGGGGCATCTGATCACACTGACAGCAGGACAGAAACAGCACCATGGTCTATGTACCATAGGCAGGCAGAGACAGGGCATTTCTGGGATAAATGTCCCTGTTCTGGCTCCTGGAGATTAACACAATGCAGTACAGCACAGGGCAGGGAGGAGGCTGAGGAACAGGCATGGACTGTAGGGTGAATCAAGACCATTAAATACCCCCCAAACCCTCTGACCCACTTCCAGAAAAGTCAAGAACAGACTGTCTGTGCATGCTAAATAATTTCCATAGAAAATGAGAAACTTATCTCCAGGGCAGGGAAGATTTATCAAGAAAATAGTATCCCCATGAAGCCCTGGTGTGTGTGCCCCTGGGAACCTGGACAGCCTATCAGATGGATCACCAGGACTGGTGATGTCTCTCTTCCTTCCTCTCTTCCTTTTTCTCTCTCTCCCCTTCTTTAATGCAATCTCTCTCTTTTCTCTATCACCCTATCTCTCCACCCAAACCCCACTGCCATGTGCTTACACTAGGAGAACATGGACTAATTTATAGCAATTCCATGCAAAGTGAGTAATTTACCAACAAAACTTTGTCAATTTTCATGGACCCTTTGACTTTTGTCATTGTTTTCCAGCGTGAACACCCAAGAATCTTGGGTGCTCCCCTTTCTTTGAAGGGTGGGACACCATGTAAGTCCCTTCTGCCTCTTTCCAAATCCCAGTGTTCCCATGACATTTCTCTATACTATGTGTGAAATTATTCACTCAGACACATGTCTAAACAATCTTCAGTTCAGGGATCTGAAGAAAAATATAAAACAACACACAGCACAGAGCAGATGCTGCTTTAAATCATATCCTCAAGGAACTGAAGTAGAGAATTCCCTGGGGAGACATTGTCTTCCTAATCGGTTTTCTTCCTAAAGCTGGTATCAAGCTGTTAGCCATATCACAGATTACCAATGTCAAACAACTACCTCTTAAAATCCCCCCAACAGATTTAATTATGTATTTTGTCACTGTGCTTTAGAATATGCAGAAAAGGTTCTCCAAAGGAAATCTGAAGTCCTTTGCAGCAGTGACACCTGATGCCTAAAAAGAGGAGCAAGCAGCAGAATGCTAACACAAACCTTCTGAGTATCTTCTCTTCTGACTTGAAAAGAAAAAAATCTACAAAACAACAACACACATGCAAAAATAGGCTTTTAAATGAAACCAGTAAATTCAGTATGAATGTAGCTGCAAGCACTACATGAGATCAAAGGTACAGAAGACCGTGGTGGGAAGGGAGCCTGGGCCCATGCACAGCAGGTAGGCAGCAAGCCAGACACAGGGTGGTCCATGAGCTAGGGAAATGATGAATTGCTGTAAGCTCATATTAGAAGTTAAACTGAGATCAGCACAAACAACCTTGCCAATTTTATGGTGAGATCATTTATCAGGAGCACTGTGATTAGCTAGAGGCCTGCTTTTCCCAAGCTTTGCTGAGCTTATCTGCCTAAATCCCTGGAACAAGCCCAGCCTATCTGAAGAAATTTCCTAGCTCAACATATGGAGCAGAGACATTATGTGCCAAAACATGTACACAATGACCTTTCCCATTGATGATATCAAAGAGCATTAGGCCTAAAGCTACAAGGATGGAAAGGAACACTAAAAAATCTGTAATTTGTTAACTTTTCTAGATGGTAGTTGAGACACTGAAGTAGATTGGAATACAGGTTTTGTAAGCAGAAAGGAGGAGACTTTAAATTTCAGATACTCAGTGTACTCATCACCAGATATACCAGATCCAGGACAACCCTGTGCTCAGTTTTTTATGATCTGTTACAAGTGACAAGCCTGCAGAAACAGTTTGCAGCCTACCAAAACAGACAATGTCAGAAAGAAGCATCCTCTTTCTTCAAAATCTAGGAAAACAGATCTAGTGATATTCTTACCCAGCTGCTCAGCTCAGTCTCAGCGGTGGTCAGGTGTGAAATGCTGTACAGTACCTGAATTAAGAGATATGCAAAAGGGCATCAGTAGCCCACAGACTGAATGACATCTAGAATGAAACTTATCCCTTAAAGCTGGCACCAATCTGAGACAGATGAGCTCTTCATAACAGACTTTAACCTACCTGAGGATCATGCTAGAAATCAGCATCAGCATTGCATTTCCAAGAGAGCATCTAATCTAATATGTAAAAACATGAATTGTTTTTACATATTACTAATTTTCTTAATACTGTTATAAACTTCATGTAAACTACAAGTCTAACCACAAGCAAGCTAACCTCCACTTTCTCTTTAAGAAAGGAAAAGAAAATCTGCTTTCAAGAGAAGCTGATCAGGAGGGAAAAGTTTTGGGGCACACAGTCATTTGATGGTCAATTTATCCCATTAAAGGCAGAAAATAAACAGTTTTCTTCACTCTGAATGTTGAAGCTACTCATTTCTTACACATCCAAGAGGATATCTGACCAGATTTCCCCCAGAAAAAGCAAGAATACACTAGACCAGGTCCTTAAAGCCCCATCCAGACTGGTCTTGAACACTTCCAGGGACGGTGTGTCCAAAACTTCTCTGGCCAACTGTGTCAGTGCCTTACCACCCTCACAGTAAAGGATTTCTTCCTAATATCTAATGTAAATGTCCCCCTCTTATGGTTTAAAACTGTTTCCCCTTGTCCTGTCAATATCTGCCCATGTAAAAAGTCTCTCTCTCTTTAAACAAGCTGCTTTTATAAGTAAAGAAGGCCACAATGACTCCACCTTAAAGATTTCTCTTTTCCAGGCTGAAATCTTTCAGCTGGAGAGACAGAGCTGGAGAGAGGAGGAGAAAGGGAGGAAACTAATTTTGATTGGGACCTGGAGATGCCCATACAGTAAGACATAGTTACCAATAAGACTACAAAAAAGAAATTCCTTTTCTAATGTAGACCACAGAGCCACGTGGTTATTGCACATGGGTGCATCTCTTGTCATAGTCACTACAAATTATAAATGACAGGCAGAACAGCATGACTAAAATATCAATGCCTTAAAAGAATATCTATACTAATACAAGCCAGATAATTTGTACAGACAAATTAATTTGATCTAGTCTACAAACAAATCCCCTGGCAGTCAAATGTATGAGCATTTTGGCTCCAAAAATGTGCTGGAGCAAGTCACTAGCTCTCTGTGCAGTGCTGTAGAAGATTTCAGGTTTGATTATAATTAGTAGCCACACTTGTGAAACACTCAGTCGATCACTAGGCTCTTTGGCACTGGTGAAATTATTTGTCAAAACCCACCCACTCTCCTGAGCTTTTCTGAGCAAGGAGCTGCATTCACAGCTGCTGGGTGCAAACCCTGGGTCCCTCTCTGCTAAATGCAGAGGAGATCATTGCATTGACCTCACAGGAGACTTGACAACTCCACATAAAATGTCTGATTTTAATGCAGCCAAAGGTAGAGAACATTAACTCTACATTGGAAGAGTAGGGCATGACTTTGTTATTTGAACTCAGCTTTAACCTCTCTGTGCCTGCAGAAGAGGAGCGGTAACAATTCTTTTGCTACAAGGAATAAACTCTGAAGACTGAGAGCTGCCCAGACCATGGAGGAACACGCAGCTGCCAGGGAGAAGGCAATGAATGCAGCTGAGGGGGATGCTGAGGGTTCCCTATGAAGATATCAGTATGGACAGGGAGAGGTAGGAAACCCAGAGCTGCTCCAAGGGCTACAACCACAGGGCTTTGCTGGTGCTGTGCCTGGGAGGAAAAAATTTCTATCCACTCACCCATAGAAATATCCTTATTCAGCTTTTAGTATACTAATTTTTCTGATTATAACTTTCAGACGTGTCTGGAAGAGTTCAAATATGGTGAAACATCACAGCTGAGCACCTTTGGGAAATGTACCTTAGAAACAAAGGGTTTCTCCACAATGATCTGGCAGCCAGCATATTCCTCTGGCTGGATATGCCTGTAGCTCCAGTAGCAGAGAGGTTTCACTCAGGATGGCACAGTCAGATGCAACCTGGTCCTCACCAATGGGTATGATGTCAATGCCATCAATTAAAGAGGGTGTGATACTTCCAATGCCAATAGTGTGCAGACCCAGAATGAAAACAGACACAGGTGAAGATTTTGTTCTGGTATGAAGGGCTGAAAAACCCCTGGAGTGTGATTTATCCCAAGCTGAGGTCTACTAGACTCTTTTTTATCTCATGCACTAAAAATTCTCTTTGCAGAATTCTGGTACATTGTTTTTCTGCTGGTGGTCTTGCCAGGGAATTAAATTATTTCAATTACTGTGGATTAAACTTAGAAGATGTAATTATTTCCCTTCCACAAAAGCAACATGACAAAGCGGGAACTGTGAAGGACAGAAGTGTTTTCACCAACAGCAAGAGGAAGTCCTGTTCCTTTTGAATGAAGTGTTAAGCTACATCAGAATGTGCAATGTGTGGGGATGTGCAAAAAGAAGAAGAAGAAAAAAAGAAAGGATGCTCTGGGCAAACGAAGTAGGAAATTTCCTTCAAGGAATGAAACTGGTGATGCTGAAGGAACATAACTGCAGGGGTTAAACTGTGTGTTTACAGAGCCATCCAGTAGGAAACACAGCTGTATCAACAGGAAGCGGAATCTGGAGTCAGAAGTGCATTTTTAAACTTGTCCTTTTCTTTCTCAAACCTATTGAGGAGATTAAGAGTGGAGATTTAACACAGAAAAGAAAGACATCAAGTGTGCAAAGCCTGCAGTAACAGGACAGAGAGGGAGAGGACAGGTTCCAGTGTGCTGGCACAGCACTCACCAGCAGCAGCATCCAATCTCCAGCCCACCAAGAAGACATAAAACCTATTCAAGGCTCAAGAAAGTCTCCCATGATGGGAATTTACTGACATGAAGATGACTGACAGGACCTTGGGTGGAGCTGAACCAGAAACAGCCAAAGTGCTGTGGAGCAGACCTCTGTCCATCTCTCAGCATACACCCCCACATGTTGCCTGGTCTCCAGGCCACTTTTCTCTCCCCAACTCTCCATGGTTGAATAACCTTAAAAAGTTATAATTTCAATTCCCTATTTCTCAATTCCTTCAGCCAAGCTCCCAGCCCCAGAGGAGTATAGAACTCTCATTGTTTTCAATATAAAACTCAGACACAAAGTAGAGAAACATAGAGATGTTAGAACATTGATGTGGATCTGTCTCAGGTTCCTGACCCTACACAGAGCTCCCATTAGCTTTCCAAGAAAACAGTTGAATTCAGCATTTTAACTGTAATACAAAAGGACTTTTCTTCCTGTTCCCCCTCTTTCCCCACCCCCAATTTCTGATACAGCTCATCAGAACTCTACAAAAATGGCAGGAAGTGCATTTGCATTTTTATCAGAAGATGAGTAAAAAAACTTCAAATTTTGTTACATGGCACTTGGAGTGTCCTTCCTACTCAGTCTCTTTTATTAGAAAAAACAAACCACAGAAAAACAAGCAAGCCAACCTGTTACAAAGAGACTGATGCAAAATGAGAAGGAACAATATTTTATTTTTCCAAATACACTCATTTTGCAAGCCAAGAACTAATGATTTCAAGTCTGCTTCAAATTGCATGGTGGTTGTGGGGGGGAGTTTAATGCTGGCTTTTAGAGACCCATGCTCACAGAGCCCACAGCTATTAACCCCTCCAGTCAGAAGAGAAAAGAGATACTGCCCGCTTGCTAGTGGCTCTGGAGAGAGGATGCCTGGGTTCACATTCACTCTGCTACTTCTTTACCTAAATTTCAATCATTAAGAGGGGTTTAGATACATATCCTGTTTATTTGGGGGTTTTATTTCAGTTAATTACTCAGCTCAGGGCAAATGGTGATGTATCATTTCATGTCATATATTTTAACAGCATCAAAGAATCCATATAGATTGACCAACAGAAAACCCCAAATAAACAAAAACAAACAACAAAAACAACAAACACATAAAAAAATGCAACCAAACACAAAAAACTGTCTTACACTTTAATAGCATCAAAAGGAAATAAGACAATCACAAAATATTATAAGATTTTAAAAATACCAAAAAGCACTGGGTGTTTTCACAGGCAGAGGCTGAAAATCCAGGGCAACTGCCAGGAGGCAGCAGGTTCATAACATTAAGATAATTCAGAAAGTTTGCTATTCAAAGATCTCAGAAAAATTTATTCAACATTCGTGAGAAGGAAATAAAAGAATGGTTTTATTCCAAAACAGTGTTTCCTCAGCAGTGAACTGGGGTTCATGAGGAAGTTCTCACCAACAGATGTTCTGAGATCGTCTCTGCATCTCAGGTTTAAGGGGAAATCTCTTTTTAATAGTTTGGCTACTTTACAGCATTCTTTAAAGAAAACCTTGAATTCAGATTCAAAATTTTCACCTTGATGTTCTCTCAAATTTGTAAAGTTTCCTTACTTTGTCATGGGAAATTTCTCCACATCTGGTCCGTGTTGGTCTGGATTTCCATAGAGCTCACATTTAAAATTCAACAGACCTGGCACAGGAAAGTTCCTTCTCTTGGCTGTTAGCTCATGGCTAGGAAAAGAACTCTTTCCCTGTCTGAAAATCAGCAGCACTTGGCTGAGAACGTTTGGCATGCAAGGCTTGGATAAAGCAGGTTAAGCCCTCGTGTCAGCTCACGGGGCCATTGCACTGTGCCAGTCCTGAGCCAGGAGCCCACGCCAAGGTGAGGGGCTGTGGGTGCCCAGGCCCCGAGGTCACTGACTGGGGTTTGTCTGCCTTGGCAGCCCCACACTGTGGCCCTGGCAGGTAAAGAGTCCCTGGTGCTGACAGAACAACACCAGGGGCTCTCTCAGCCACGTCTTGGCTGCCCAGGGCAGCAGCTGAGCAGAGCATCAAGGATGAGAAACCAGCAGGGAGACACAGCCAAAGGGAGCTTGGAAAGATCACCTGGATATGTCTCCCATGTGAGGCCTGGGAGATGAGCTGAGCCAAACCATTTTTCTAAGGGATATTTTTTATTTTCATTTTTAGTGAGAACTGCTCTGGAGGA